GGCAGACAGTTTTCTCTGGGTGATTCTGCATAGATCACATTTGGGTGCCTGTCTCTCAGCTTCCACTCACAGGGTCACTGGCTGATGTGGAAGTGTCCACGGGCTTCGAGGGGTGGTACGGTTTCACATTTTCTGCTGGAATCCACTTGAGTCTTGTATCTGTAGAAACACATGCAAACCCTTTGTCCCATGTAATAAGATCAAATGGTGCCTCTATTTTTCCTGATTCTAGATTTTTAATTAAAACTGGGGGGTTTTCCTTCAGTGTTGCTTTTATGTTGTTCTTGAAATGTCTGTAAATGGGAGGATCTGGCTCTTCTGCAGAGCTATTCAAAAAGTTATAAACATACAAAGCCTTTATTCAACCTTCTTTGAGGTGTATCCTGGGCTCCCCCTGCTTTTTGTTGATCTAAAATGCGTTTTAGAGTTTGATGTGTTCTTTCTACCATTCAGTGACCTGTGGGAGAATAGGGAATACCAAATGTATGGTGGACACCTTGGTCATTTAAAAATGTAGCAAATTCTTGTGAAGTGTATGGAGGACCATTATCAGTTTTAATTTCTTGAGGGACACCCATTGAAGAAAATGCTTGTGAAAAATGCTGACAAACAAGCTTAGCTGTTTCTGCTGTATGTACAGATGCAAAAACAGCTTTTGAAAATGTATCAATAGAGACATAGATATTTTTAAATTTCCCAAAAGAAGGGTACTTTGTGACATCTGTTTGCCATTTCTGCAAACTTTCCAACCCCCTTGGTTTGGTGGCTCCTATAGAAGGGGTAGGTTGGACAAGCTGGCAGTCAGGGCAAGCCTGTACAATGGCTTGTGTTTGCTCTAGGGAAATGTGAAAATCTCATCTGAGAGCCTGTGCATTTTGGTGAAAAAAGGCATGACTCAATTGAGCTTGTTCAACAGTGTTAGGTAAGGTAGCTGCAGGAAGAACAGAAGTGAAATCTCCAATGTCTCCTTCAGTTCCCTCATCACATGCTGCTGATGCCAATGCATCAGCTCGTGCATTCCCTTCTGCCATAAATCCTGGGAGACCAGAGTGAGCTCTAATGTGAGCAACAAAGTAAGGATTAGTTCTGTGTAACAAAATTTGATAAAGACAGGTGAGCCAAAGACACAATTTGTTGTTGCTAACATCTTTTAAAACAGATCCTTCAATTCTCTTAACAATGTTACAACATATGCTGAATCAGTGACTAGGTTAAAAGGTTCTGGGAAGAGCTGAAATGTAGCCAATTCAACAATCTGAGGAGAACCTTTGACCTTTTGAACATCATGTTCCCGGGATTTAGTGTTTTTATTTTGCCATGCAGTTACTGCTCTGTGTGTTTGTCCGGACATATCAGTGAAAAGAGTAACTGCATCTAAAGGTTCTTCACTGATAAGGGGTTTCTCTTTGTAGCATAATTTAGCTTTGATCAGTTTGTGTGCTGGGTAATGAATGGAGCAGACACCTGGAAAATCTAACAAGGTATACAGCAAATCTTCTGACTTTGGCATGGCCCAATCAAAATAGGATTTAATCATAAGTAAATAGATGATTGCAAATTTGCGACCTGCTATAGAAAGAAGCCTTGCCCTGCCTTTAATGATAATTTGAGAAATGATCTCTAAAGATGTGAAGATTGTCTTTAGTGACCTGTAAGAAAGAAAAACCCATTCAATTATTAACAAAAGATCATTTTGAGAGGAGTCCCATTGGAAAATGAGGCCATACAGTCTCAGTGTTTCTCCTAGAACTGCAAGAAAAAAAGGTTTATCTGGAACATAGCAATATGCTTGTCTATTTTGCAGAGCATCTGTGATTCTTTCTAAAGCTTTGCAGGATTCAGGAGTAAGAGATCTGGGGGATTTAATGTCACTGTCTCCTTTTAACAAATCAAAAAGTGGAGCGAGTTCATCAGCAGTGATTGCCAATACTGGCCTAACCCAATTAATGTCTCCTAAAAGTTGTTGCAAATCTCGCAAAGTGTGAACACTGGCTTTGAGTTGTATCTTCTGAGGCTTAATAGATTGTTCTGTCAGTTTCCAGCCTAAATATTTCCAGGGAGCAGTCTCTTGTATTTTTGATTCAGAAACAACCAGCCCAGCTTTCCTTACTTCAGTGACAACACTGTCACGAGTCTCTTCTATTTGTTTCTGCGTTGGTGCTGCAATGGCAAATCATCCATGTAATGAAGAATAACTGATTGTGGAAACTGCTCTCGGACTGGAGACAAAGCACGGGCTACAAAGTATTGACAAATACTGGCCTAGTTAATCAATCCTAGAGGAGGTACAAGCCAGTGATATGTCTGAAGCGGTTCTTGAAGGTTTGTACTTGAAACGGAAAAGGCAAAACAAGGAGCATCATATGGATGGAGAGGAATATTGAAAAACAGTCTTTTAGATCAATAATAACAAGTGGCCAGTTTCTTGGAATCATGGAGAGGTTAGGTAGACCAGGTTGGAGTGGGCCCATTTTTTTCAATTACAGCATTAATTTTTCTAAGATCATGTAACACTTGCCAGGTGTTAGAAGTTTTCTTGCGGATCACAAACACAAGTGAGTTCCAGGGACTGGTTTAATGTGGCCTTTTTGTAACTGCTTAGCTGTAGCTACGATATTTTATGAAAAATCCCTTCCTAGGATTTTTTCCCTCCTGAGAGCTGATGGCCTCAGGAAAGAAATGTAAACAATAACTATCTGCTGCTGTGGAATGCAACAGGTGCATCTTCCACTGGTCCATGTGGATTATTTTCAATTAGTGACCAATCACAGCCACCTGTACCAAGGCTGTGAGCAGTCACGAGATTTTGTTATGCATTTTATTCTATTCTTGTTCTTCTGATCTTTCTTCTCTCTCTGTTCTTTTAGTATAGTATTAATGTAGTATTTTAATATGATATATAACATAATAAATCAGTCTTCTGAGAAAATGGAGTCAAGCCTTGTGTCCCCACACTTGGAGCATCCACTGCAACACTCAGCCACTAGTTTTTTGAGGGCACTCAGTTTGTTATCTTGTAGGGGCCACTGGTCCACCCAGACAGCGATGTTAGTTTTCCAGGTCAGCTTCAGGGTGGTGAGTGCCTCAGTGGCCCCTATTAAAAACCCACTTCAGTTTTTGCTCATTGTGACAGTAAATCCCTTCTCCACACTGTGATGAGTTTCTGCACTACATAGAGGCGGATCAATGCTTTCTTCCCTTCTGGTTCTTTGACATTAATCACAGATTCACTTTGTAAGCACAGAATGGCACCTCCTACACATGTGAGAGCACCTGAAGGAGTTATTAACTTCCAACCTCCTGGCCACAGAGAATGAGATGTTACAGTAACATTGGCTCCTTTATCAACCATGCCTGAGATATCAACCTGAGCTCCACCCTTTGATAATTCACAAGTCAGCAGTGGCCGTTGATGATTAATCTTTTGAACCAAAAAAAATCCAGATTTTTAGAAACAGCTGAAAAAGAGCGTGGTGGCATTTGATCTGCAGTCTCCAGAGGCAGTGCTATAGCAATAGCTTTAGGGGTTCTAAGTGGGATATGCAGTGGGGGATAGTAGGCTTTAGATAATGCCACTAACTCTTCATTGCAATCAACAGACACAAGGCAAAACAAGCAGTCCAAGAATACTGTTCCTCTCCTTACCAACAACTAGAAAGTCTTGTGGTTTTTTTTTTTTTTTGTGAGGTTCCAGTAACTCCTATTGAAATATAATTATAGCCATTATCTTTTAAAAAGGTTGTTGGTTTGGAGGTTGCCAAAGTGCAACAGGAGCTGGGGGGATAGTAGGTTTGGGTCTGGTCTCTCCCTGGGATTCAGCTGGCAGTGAAGTGTAGTGCTTCAGAGTCAGGGTATTCATAAATCTTACCCTTTGTGTGTTCTTGGGTATCTGCAGTGCCACTACTTGTGTCACTGCATGGTGACGCTGCATGCACATTTTGAGGTTTTTTGGAATTTGGTTTCCACCAATAGCATATTTAGAGCAGCACTGTTTAACAAAATGCCATCCTATTCTACACTGCGGACAAAGATCTGATGTCTGTGCCTCTCTTTTCACCTCTGGGCAATTTATCATTATGTGGCCAGGTTTTTTACAGAAATAGCATAGCTCTGGGACCACAGAAGCTCTCCCATCATCCCCAGTATTATTCTGTTGCTGAGAATTTAACTGAAAAGCAGCCAAAATTTCTGTAAGTTTTTGGTCTCGTGCTTCTATTTGTGCTGCTTGGGCTGCAAGAGCTCTTTCAATGTTTTCTCCTAGGGTCTTTCCAAGCTCATTTGCCTGGATAGCTGCCACCTGCTGAGGGCTCCCAATCTTATTGCAGGCATCTATCATTTCAGGCACCGTGGGTCTATTTTTCCCAAGGGCTTTGATAGCTCGTTTGCATTCTTCAGTTGCATTATTTTCAATAATATCACGTACCATAACTGGTATGTGAAAGCAGAAAAAAACCCCAAAAGCAGAACCGATGCATCTTGGCTTCTTCTTTGGTCGCAGGGCTGGGAAAAAACAGACTTTCTAATACCTCGGGGTCATCTCGACCCCAGAAACCTTGTCAGAGGAGCAGAGGGGACTCCTTGGAGTCCCTGCACCCCAAAGCAGACAATAAGGGGAGAAGAGACCCGAGACCTCAAAACCCCAGCATCCCTAAGTAGGGAGATGGAAAAGGGAGGAACTTCTTTTTTGTATTCCTGGGACTCCCAGCAGCCTGGGGAGGGCAGGGACTGAGTAGACAGATGACCCCCAATACAAGTGTGACCCCCCCAGCAGCTGCGACAGGGGAAACCCCCAAAAAGGGGAGTCAAAGGGGAGAGACCAGAGACATGGAACTCCTGGGAGGCATTTTCAGGGCTGAATCTTGGTGGTTGGGAAGTTTTTATGGATTCCAGATGGCTGGTGACTTCTGGAGATGGACTTAGGCAGAGGACCCTTCATACTTAATGTGTTCATCTCTTGTTTTTCCCCAAACCAGGATTTCCCATTCCCAGCCCTTGGCTGGATGAAGGGGGTGGCTGTGAGGAAGATGAAGATGCCCCTGGACATCCAGGCAGGTGAGGAAGAAGTCACTGCCCCTTTCCCCCTCTCTCCTGCTCCATCTCCCAGCCCAGCATGGCCCCTTGCTGCAGGACAGCCCTGCTGCTGGTGCCGTCCTGCTGGGGATGATCTGAGGGAATCTCCTTCCCCTTCCCTGTGGCATGGAGGCAAATGCCATCCCTTCCTTGTCCTTCCTGCCCCAGACAAGGAGCTGAGGATGGAGACCAGGGAGGACAAATCCCCACAGCAGAACCTTGTGGAAGAGGCTGTTGTGAGTGACTCTACAGAGCAGGAATCCGATGGGGAGGAAAATGCCCAGAGATCCCCCAGGATGAGGGGCTGCAAACCCGGCCCAGGGTGCTCTGAGGAGGAAAGGCCCTCCCTGAGCCAGGAAGGTGGACAGAGCTGGTGATCTCTGAGCAGCTTCAGGTTGGGGAGAAGCCCCACAAGTGCTTGGAGTGTGGGAAGAGCTTCAGGCAGAGCTCCCACGTGATTTGTCACCAGATGATCCACACTGGGGAATGGGCCTACGAGTGTCCTGAGTGTGGGAAGGGCTTCATCTGCAGCTCCAACCTCTTCACCCACCAAGGAATCCACACTGGCAAATGCCCCTATGAGTGTGGGGAGTGTGGGAAGAGCTTCAGTCATAGCTACAGCCTAATCAGCCCCCAGATGATCCACGCTGGGGAGAGGCCCTACAAGTGTGGGGAATGTGGGATGAGCATCAGACAGCGCTCTGGCCTCATCCGCCACCAGATGATCCCCACTGGGGAATGGTCCTACGAGTCTGGGGAGTGTAGGAAGGGCTTCAGCTGCAGCTCCAACCTCATCACCCACCAACGAGTGCACACTGGGGAATGCCCCTATGAGTGTGGGGAATGTAGGATGAGCTTCAGATGGTGCTCTGACTTGATCCCCGACCAGATGATTCACACTGGGCAGAGGCCGTATGAGTGTCAGAAGAGCTTCAGCCAGAGGACCCAACTGATCATCTACCAACGCATCCACACCGGGGAGGCCCTTGTTCACTTCTGTATGGTTGGCCAGATATACCAGTCTCTGGATGGTATAAGTCCTAAGTATATCAACCTTCTGAAGAGGTTTGAGGGATGTGTTGCCAATGTGATGGAGCCAATCCACAAGTTTCTCTGATAAACCTGAATCGGTAAAACCGGTCCAGGGGTCAATCCATGTGCCTAGATGTTTTTCGGAGCTCCCTGGGTCAATCATATTACGGGGGGATCCATTTATTATCTGTCACTATAGGACACGAAACAACACGACGCGGACACGCTGCTGCTCTCAAGGTAGAAATGGGATGTTTGTTTTTTACTCCAACATTTTTAGATTTCCAAAGGTGACAGTGGATTGGAGGGTGAAAGTGCCACCTCTCCAATGACATTGGACAAACCAACAGTCCATCAAATTTTTCCTCCTCCATAAAAGAATGCAAAACAATAAGTTGTTTACAGAAAGTGTGTGAGAAAGTTTGCTACAAGAATGTAAACATCAGAAGGCTTAGAAAATCTTAAAAAATCAGGGTGACATCTCACCCTTCTCAGTTAAAAAAAAAGAAGAAAAAAAAAAGAAAGAAAAAATGAACAATGTGGAAAAAGAAACATGAATAAGGTTCAGTGTCGATTTGTGGAGGAATCATTGGAGTGATCACTTGCATCGTCTGCACCTGAGTCATCACTCAATGATTCACCCAATTGATGCCTTTCAGGTTGGTCATGGTTTTCATTCTGCCCTTTGTCCAGATTCTGTCTTTGCGGTTGCAGGTCAGGGCAAACACACTTTGAAGGTACCCAGCATACCCCAGTATCTGTGGATACACAAGCATACCTGCGCCCCAAAGTGATAAGGTCATAGGGACCTTCCCACTGTTTGGTGACCAAATTCCCCACACGAACCTTCGCATGACAGGGTTATTTGAGGTCTATGGCACCGTAAGATGATTGATGGTGTACAATGCTTTTGCCCACTGACTGTGCAGGGTTTCACCCTGCATTCCCCATTTTTGTTTTTGAAGAACCCGCTTCAGAGTACCATGAGCGCATTCTACAATAGCTTGACCAGTTGGAGAATGAGGGATACGAAACTTGTGTGACACACCCCACAACTGCAGGAACTGCTGCACTTTTTGCAATGAGTAAGCAGGACCACTGTTGGTTTTCACAGCAGAAGGTGTGCCCAGAACGGCAAAGGCCTGCTTCCAGTGGGCAAGGACATCGTGGGCCATTTCTCCCCTGTGAGCAGAAGCCCACAGAGGAGAGGAGAGGAGAACATGTCCACTGTGACATGCACATACTTGAGCCGGCCAAACTCGGCAATCTGGGTGACGTTGGTCTGCCAAAGCTCCAAGGCCCTAAGGCCCCTGGGGTTTACCCCTGCTGGTAAAGGCGGATCCAGTGCATGGCAGTCATCAAATGACTCAACAATGTCATGAGGCTCAGCTGGTGTCAGCTGAAACTGCTTCTGCAGAGTATGTGCGTTCTGGTGGAAAAACCCATGAGATGCCTTGGCCTGCGCGAGTGTATCAGGCTGAGGGGCTACCCACACTGGGTTAACCAGCTTGTCAGCTCTCGCGTTATCTTCCACTATAAAGCCTGGCACATTGGTGTGACTCCTCACATGCAGAATGTAAAACGGATGAAACCGAGCCTGAATGGCACACCACAAGGTCTTCAGTAAATGGAACAAGGCAAGATTACCGACCTCCTTCAAAACCGAATGACCCAATCACTGTGTGATGTCGGCCACATAGGCAGAACCTGTGACCAAATTAAAACGTTCCTGGGAAAACTTCTCAAATGCTGTGACAGCAGCCTTCAATTCAACCAATTGGGCTGACCCATCCTCATTACCTTCCAGAACCTGCCTCTTAGATCCATCTCTCTAAGTAACAATGGTTTTTCCTGTCTTCCCCGAACTGTCAGTGAAGACGTTGGCTCCTTGCATGGGTTCTTGACTATTTTTGGGCCGCAAAGAGATTTGTGTGGATTTTGTCATATGCAGTAGCCTATGGCTGGGCAGATGGTAAGTGATCTGCCCTGTAAAGTTTTCCAGAGCACTCTGCAGGGACACACTGTTTGCAAAGCTCCAGCCAAAATCCTCCGGCTGTACCAGGAGTATGATCTTTGTGGGACCCAGACCCATCAATTGCAAATAACATTGTTGGCATTTGATTATCAAATGAGCAAGGAGCTCAGATAATAGGGGCTCTTGGTTTAGGGTAAGTTTGGGAGATAACCCTTAAAGGGGCTTCTCTACAAAAGCAGATTTAATTGCCTCTCTTCCCTCTAACCCTGCGAAAGGGTTTGTCTGTACTCAAGGCAGGATTAATTCAAACTGTTTTTTCTAACAAACTTTTGACATGTACTACTGGGATTTTGTCTCCATCTACTTTGTGCAATGGCTTAGATTGGGCAGGGCTCACT